TATCGAGAATATAGAAAGGACTGACAAATTGATAAGAAAAACAATAAGTGAGAAGGTGTTCAATATTAGTAATCATCAGAGAAATTAAAATTAAAACCTCCAAATATACCACCATACATTCATGAGAATGATAGAACCAAATGTTGGGGATGACCTGGGGCAACTGCGACATTCAAACATTCATGCTGGTGGAGGTGTCATTGGCATAAGTCCTTTAGAAAACCTCTCGGGCAGTGTCAACTAAATTTAAACACAAGGCAACCTGGTGACCTAGCAATTCCACTTCTATATAAATATTCAAGAAAAAGGAGTACACACATTCTACCAACCCATGAGAATAATAATAACAACTAACTCATTATAGTTGAAAACTGGAAACAATCATATAAATCCAAATGACCATCAACCACAGAGTCAAAATTAGGAGAGTCACATCTGAATCCTTTAAGGTATCAGGCAGATGAGATTTTTTTTTTAACTAAAAGTTAATTTGTAACTATTTCACTAGATTTTTATCAAAAATCCTTTGTTTCATATGACTGACATACTTTTGTGATGTCTATAGTGCACACTTCAGCATTACTATTACAGGAAAATATTTTAAAATTATTTCCCTATATTTTTCAGAATAAAATGTCAATATTAAGTAAAATATTAATATGATATGAATATTTTCACAAAAGACAGGTAATTTATCATTTAAAAAATATATATTTATTTTTAAATGGAAAATTTAAATAAATATTAATATTTATTTTGCAATTTTTTCTTTTTAAATTCTCATACTTTATAAGCTTATTTTAAGTGAACTAATGATTTTTACTTTATAAAAATATGTATTACACAAAAGAACAGAATAGCATATTTAAAATAGTTACAAAAGTTCCAGAAAAAGTTGACCATATAAAAACCTTATCTATTGCTCCTTAATACCGCTTGATGTGTAAGTCATTGGCAGATTATTGCTACTTTCAGAAGATAAAATAATTTGTTAGTTATCAGCATTATAGCTTAAAAAAATTAAGTACTTTGAAATTATTTTTTCAAGTTATAATGAAAATTTCCAAATAAACCCCAAAGAAGAGAGAGCAGAGCAGTACAATGAACTCTCATGATCCAATTACCCAACCTTGGTAGCATTCAACTTTTTCATTGTTCCTTGGGCAATTTTTTAAAAATCAAGTTTTCAAGAATCCCAGGAAAATCCTTTAAACACTGCAGTGAATTAAGATTAAAAAAGATTTCTGAATCTTTGAAAGATTCCATCATTTAGGATGGAATCATTCCTTCCACTTAGAATGATTTAGTTCAACTTTATTGGGCTAACCCCAGGGAAATAGTTTATTTTCTTAAACAAAAGTTAGAATATCAAGCCAGAGTCCAAAGTTACTGCACTCATCCTAATCATGACTCACTGTTTCCTTAGTGGTCTAGCAAGATGTTGTAGAACTACTGACACATGTAACAACATGAATAGATCTTAAAAATCATTATGCTATGGAAAAGACACAACACACAAATGGCAGCATACCATATGATTCCTTTTTTTATGGTATTTTGAAAGACAAAATTACAAGGGACAGAAGTCAGATCAGTGTTTACCAGGAACTAGAGATGAAGGGAGGAGACTGAATACAAAGGGATTTGATGGGACTTTTGTGAGTGATAGGAATTCTCTATAGCTTGATTGTGGTGGTGCTTAAATAAATACATATATTTGTCAAGAAGCATCAAGCTGTACACACAAGAAGGGAGAATATTACAAGCATAAATTATACCTCATTTTACCTAGTAAGTCTTAAATAAAAACAAACAAACAAAAATCCTTACTAAACTGTCTGATGGTCATGTATAGAGAAGTCTACCATCTTTCTTGATTGGAATAACACATTACTAATGAAGTTTAAGCTGCTTAAGATGTTTGATTTAGGAAAACCTTTTCATATTTTTGGTATTCATCAAGGTTCTAATTCAATAAAATAGCCTGTATTGTGTCTTTTTTTCCTCAAATAAATGCAGTAATAATAAATGCATTAATTATTTTAAAATTATTTTTAAAATAATATTATTTATTTACTATTAAATAAATTTAATAAATTAATTAAATTTATTAAATAAAATTTTTAAAAAATAAATGCATTAATTATTTAAAAATTCCACCTAACAGATTGATGTCCACCACATGAACTTAGCAAGGTCTTCAAGAATTTGTACTTGGTATACAAGATTACTCAATTCTATATATTCTTTTGTCATCTTCAATTTAGTCAGCATGCTTTCTTTATAGAAAATATTGTTCCATGTTGAATCATTCTAAATATATTCTGTTGCTTAATTGTGGCAGGGGGAGGTGAAGTTGTACTTGATTATATGGGACATGACATTTGTATATGGTAAGGATTTAAATAAACTGATGAAATATAAAGATACTAAAGACTGATAAAATATTTTTGTCTTTGTAAGTGAAGTTACATTATGTCCTGATGTTACGATTAAGTTCTTTCTTTGAAAGGAGCATTTTAAATATTTATTTTATATGCCACTGGCACCCCACTCCAGTACTCTTTCCTGGAAAATCCCATGGACGGAGGAGCCTGGTGGGCTGCAGTCCATGGGGTCGCAAAGAGTCAGACACAACTGAGCGACTTCACTTTCATGCATTGGAGAAGGAAATGGCAACCCACTCCAGTGTTCTTGCCTGGAGAATCCCAGGGATGGGGGAGCCTGGTGGGCTGCTGTCTATGGGGTCACATAGAGTCGGACACGACCGAAACGACTTAGCAGAAGCAGCAGAAGTTATATTAATTAAATCATACACATTATTGACGATTGTTTCCTTTGGTTATCTTGACTTTTATATTTTTAAGGCACTTATATATCTTAAAGAAAAAGGTGACATTAAAATTTTGTATACAAATATGCAATGAATTATCATATTTGTTCTATATTAATAACATAAATATATATAGGTAAGTAAACCCCACTATTTTAGATTATGCCATGGTTTGTTTGAACTTGTGATAATCCTACCCTTTCAAATAATTCTATAGAACACACACACAGCCACAATCTCAACTGAAAGAAGTTTTCTTTCATTACAGATTCCAGTTCATTCTTAGGTTAGTATTAAAATAATTATGTTCAAATATAGAACAAAATGTTTCCTCTACCAACAAATAAGGATGTACGTCTGTCATTATTGGAAATCATGCCATATTTTCAGATCTTTTAGGTTAGATTGTAAACTATTTTACAGCCGTCTATTATAAGATGTACAAAGACATTTAAAATAATATCATATTTGCAGACTTTTTTAGAGTTAATATTAGTATAGGTAGATAGTTCTAAGGACTATAAAGTCCTTAACAGTTTATTTATTTTTGTATATTAAGTGATTATATATCTTTCAAGATTCTTAAATAGGAAAACTGTAATACAAGAGAAGGAAAAGACATCATTTTTAAACTAACTAGATATTAGATCTCATAATTTCTTCTTCCTGTTAACCCACTTACTCAGGAATATCTTAACTTCCTAAGGGAGACATCTACAACTGACTCTCCTCTTGAGCCTTTTTTCCCAGGTGTTTAAGAAAGTCAGAGAATTCGAAGCAGTAAAAGGGCAGGAGGGACTCACTTACAGATCTGGATATGATTTAGGACACACACATTGACGTTTGCTGCTGCTAAGTCGCTTCAGTCATGTCCGACTCTGTGCGACCCCATAGACGGCAGCCCACCAGGCTCCCCCGTCCCTGGGATTCTCCAGGCAAGAACACTGGAGTGGGTTGCCATTTCCTTCTCCAATTCATGAAAGTGAAAAGTGAAAGTGAAGTTGCTTAGTTATGTCCGACTCTCAGCGACCCCAGGGACTGCAGCCCACCAGGCTCCTCCATCTATGGGATTTTCCAGGCAAGAGTACTGGAGTGGGTGCCATTGCCTACTCCGATGTTGAGGTTTAGCTGATCTTAAATGTATGGATTTATCTATTTCATCTTTCATAATGTCTTCATTATACTACATATGGAAATGTCAATGAAACCTATTAAACTAGAAAATACTTCATGAAATTTATAAGGTGTTAGTTTGCATTACATTTTAAACAAGAATTAAGGCTAATTCAAAGCACTGTTCATTCTCTCGCTCTTTTTCTAATTCAGTGTCTGTGATACTGCAAACTCTGTGGCATCTAAAAGGTCATTTTCTAATACATATCATTAGCCCTTGGAATTGGGAGGAAGCCACCCTAGAGTAGTGGCATGATTGCTTTCACTTCTAGACATAACACATGTCATCTGGGTGAAAGTCATAGAAAGAGTACGGAAGCAAAAGTGTGAATTCTACCCATATAAGAGGAAATATGTTCCAAAAATTTATTCAAAACAGATGAGAAGTAACTAAACTTAAAAATAAATAAATAGATAACTATAGTAAGACATTATCACAAACTGCATGAATTTTTTTTCAAGGTACTTTTAGGAAAAACCACTTTCTTTTTCCATAATTTTTTTTTTCAAACAATACTTTCCAAGTATCTTGAATCAGGTTCTCATTATATTCTAGGAATAAGACACAGGTCCTGCTATGAGGAGGTTTACCCCATGGTTGAAGAGATAGAAGAGGACCCACATTTACTCCAAACATAACTGAAGAAGAAATCCCCAAGTAACCAAGTTTATAACAACATGGAAAATTAGCAGAATTGGGACTTTAAGCACTAAATTCAATTTTTAAGAAATAAATGTACATTTTTACACACATTCTCTATAGATGTATAATTCACACCTACAACTATAACCATAAAAGTGTAGTAAATAAAGAATTTCAGAACATAGGACATCGGTTGAAGAGACGACAATAAAAAGTCAGGAATAAATCATTCCTTAAAACACTTATGGATAGTTTCATGTATATTTAAAAAAATAAAAATATTAAGAAATGCCAGATTATGGAGAAAAAGGCAGTTTTACAAAATCATTTTATGAAAGTGGTTCATCTTACCTCAGCTACCAGTTGCTGAAGAGATGGTGAAGCAACTGAGTGGAGACTTGAGTTACCCCTTACAGGACTGTGGAGACTAATGTAAGCCACAGCATTTCTCTGCAGAACCTTCTTGAAATCCTGAAATTTAAAAAAAAAAAGAAAAGAAAGAAAAATATTTCTTTAAGATAAATAAAAGTGACATATTCCACTTTACCAGTTACATGTTGAAAAATAAACACGTCCTACTTAAAATCATTACCTTGCATAATACTTTATATTTTGTATTTAAAGCAATCTCTTACTATTTAATAGAGTGCTCAAGGATCATAAATGTATTTTAAATAACGGTAGTAAGGGTAGTGTTAAATATTTAAATATAATATTTAAAATGCATTTTAAATAAGGATACTCCTTATTGTATATTCATACAATATACCACACAGTATTTTAAAGCATGTTCATGTCCCTCAAAAATGTAAAATTTAACAGAAAAATATCCTTGTATGGTTTATATAGTATGAGATTCAACTTCAGAATACAGGATGGAATATTTGCTCTAGGACAGCATTTAATTTTATAGACTTTGAACTAGAGAACAGACATGGATAAATCACTTCAGTGTTTAATAAAACCAGTCCTTTCCTTTGGAGTGTTGAGCTACATTTTGCACGAAGTGGCTCTTTATTCTGAACAAAATAGGGAATAATACAATTGTGGCCCTGCACACATTACCTGAAATAAAACCTGATGCATTTCACCCATAAACTAGCATAAAATGATTCAGTAGATTAGTTATTCCACTTCTGTGCTAAACCCAAATTCCAAAAATTGAAGACCACTGATCCTATTGATAAGTTACCACTAAGAAGCCCTTCTGTTATTTTCTTCCTTTTCCTACATAAATATTTAATGAGTAATTATCATGGTGGCAGTTCTATAGGAATATCCTAAAAATTGTATTACTTCATGCCTTAAAATATTTTTTTCTTCTTCCAACACTATCAGATGAAAGTCTGCAAAGGCTTATATATCCAGCATATCAATATTATTCCTAGTTTATGTTGAAAATTCAGTTATACCTCTGTAAAGGAAGTGAAAAGATAATTCATTTAAAAATAAATATTTTGAATAGAAATTATGAACTTTAAGCTTAAGTACTCTGCTTTACACATAATGTTGTTATTAAAAATGTTCATTATTACACAAGATCTATAAAAAAACAGCTTCTATTAACATACTACCACACTGATAATGTCTATAAGTCAGTCCATTTAATTCTCATGAGAACCTCATAACATGGACATTAGTACACTTTTAGGAGGAATCAAGCCTTGGAGAAATTACTCTTGCCTAAGATCACATGTTCTATTGTACAGAAGATTTGAACTCTGATTTCTTTGATTGCAAAATCTATCATATTTCCACAATAGCCTGAGATGAAGATTCTTCACAGGAGAGATGGTACTATTTTTAAAGAACCTATTTAGTAGAATGTCATAATTCTCTTCAAGGATCAAAAGCAGCATTGAGTCAAATATCTAATAACTCTATCACTACAAATTCCATCTGACCAATATAGCCTAATCCTTTTAATTATAACTCTGTATTTCAAGGGGATCCTGAGCAAAACAAAATTAGAAAGGGCATTATGACCTGTCAACAAGTGCTTTCCTCACTCATCTTCATTAGGGAATATATTTAGTGCACAAATCAGTTTCATCTAAAAGAAAAAAGTCTTTCATTTTCACAAAAAGTAGGCTTGATAAGAGTAGACAGAACAGGAAAACTAGCAGTTTTCTAAATTCCTCCTCAACCCGATTGTTACAAAAATACTCCATGAACTATACTGACATAATCTAAGATACAATAGTTTACAATAGTACAGGCTAAGAGTATGGGCTAATAGTATGGGCTAATAATTAAATTATACAGTATTCATTATTTTCTTCATTATACATTTTTGCTCATCTAGTCATGGAAAAAACCAGAAAGTGATTAGGTGTATAATTGTTTGTCAAATGTGCATAGGAAAAGCATTTTCTATAAGAAACATTATTTTCCTATGGACCCTTACAATATAACAGTTGTATTTTTAGTATCTGTTGTTTGAGAAAGTATAAAATGACCAAAAGGTACAACAGAGTCTCTAAATAAAATATTTTATTAACTACAAAAAATATTTATGTAATGTGAAAATATAATTGCTCACACACATAAAAGGTCACAATATTGAATTAATTTATGGTTACCATGCATGATGCTCAAATAAATTCAAGCACTATTTGCAATATACTTCCCCATGGAGAGGGGTTAATGATATTTAGGAATTTAAGTTAGGAACCACTATTGTTGCACAAGCCTACTTTGAGAACACAACTTAGAAATATGTGTGCCAAGTTAGAATTAAAATGAATTGACTGAAAATTATTATGGAAAAGGCTGTATAAAATACTGGAAAATTTTTTTGAAAGAATCTTAAAGATATTTTCTTAAAATGTGCCTTATTGCTACAGGAAAACTAAAACAGTTTTCTTTGTGATAAAAATTTTCTGAATTACTAAAATCAGCCCATATCACATATGTACTCCCCAAATTGTTTTTTAAATTGTTTATATCCTTAAAGTAAAGAATTTGGAATAGAAGTTTGAGAGATTGCTTTACTAATACATTTTCCATCTTACTAAAAATTTGCCAGCTTTAAAAGATTCTGTCAGCAATGGAATTTATTTGAATTAGTTTTCTTGAGTAATGGGAAAAAAATCATACCACTAATTTAAATACAGAAAAGTATTTTGATTTCCAATGTAGGAATCTTGATAAACTTTACAACTGTAAAATTTTTCTCATTTTGAAACCTCTTTCCCTCAAATTAAAAAAGAGGTTTGCTAGCTTCATTTGTATACCTTTTTGATTATTTTTTGATAGCCAATAGACATTTTGTGTATTTCTGAGTGATTAAATGAAAAATGAAACAAGAATTTCTCATTATATATTTGGGAATTTTTTCCTCTAAAGCTGAAGTAGTAAGCAAACTAGAATATCAAATGTTTTTATTTTCCTAGTTAAACTTATGTAGGTTTTTTTAAATCCTTATTTCTGTTAAAATTCTTTTTATAAAATCATAAAAGTAAATATTAAATCTAAAAGTTTTATGATCTGTTTATTCCTGTAAATGTGGAATAAATCCAAAGTTGTTATATCCCATTAAAAACAGTGCATTTGTGAGACGCAGACATATCAGACGCATTTAAAGATTTATTCCAGTTGTATTCTAACTGTAATCCATTGCACACAAGATTTCCTTTGAACAAAGCCTGGGTGGTCATTTAGTCGCTAAGTTGTGTCTGACTTGCAACCCTATGGACTATATAGCCTGCCAGGCATCTCTGTCCATGGGATTCTCCAGACAAGAATACTGGAGTGGGTTGCCATTTCCTTCTCCAAAACAAATTCCTCTAAAGCTGAAGTAGTAAGCAAACTAGAATATCAAATGTTTTTATTTTCCTAGTTAAACTTATGTAGGTTTTTTTAAATCCTTATTTCTGTTAAAATTCTTTTTATAAAATCATAAAAGTAAATATTAAATCTAAAAGTTTTATGATCTGTTTATTGCTGTAAATGTGGAATAAATCCAAAGTTGTTATATCCCATTAAAAACAGTGCATTTGTGAGATGCAGACATATCAGACGCATTTAAAGATTTATTCCAGTTGTATTCTAACTGCAATCCATTGCACACAAGATTTCCTTTGAACAAAGGCTGGGTGGTCATTTAGTCGCTAAGTTGTGTCTGACTTGCAACCCTATGGACTATATAGCCTGCCAGGCCTCTCTGTCCATGGGATTCTCCAGACAAGAATACTGGAGTGGGTTGCCATTTCCTTCTCCAAAACAAAGGCTACCTAAGGTAGTTAGGCAAGTAGGCAGGTAAGTAGATAGGTAGAGATGCAAGTAGGAAAGAAGGAGCAGGGAGATAGGGATGTAAGAATAGGAGGAAGGATTGATGGGAGGGAGAAAACAAGGCAGAAAAAAGGAAACTGCTGTTTTGAGTCCAATCTATCTATTGTTTAGGTAAGATATAATGCCAAGTTAATACACATTTAGCAAATAAGATTGTTTCCTAATTTCAGAAAATTGCTAGAAGGTTTATGAAAAAAAGGTAGTGGTATGTATCACTTGATCACTCCTTGTCCAGTGCCGGTCAATCTAAGGATTGACACAATAACCAGGTAAACCCCAATGCAGGTATATAAGAGTCCATAGGTCTGGTAGCAACAAGGAAAAGATAGCTGCAGACCACACGCAATTCACTGTAGTCTAAATCTTACTCCTTAGCATTCTAAGAGGTGATCTCAGCAAGTGAGCATACAGCACACTCTGGTAGAGATGCACATTCCTGTTAATGGCTTCATCAGTTTGACTTTGTCTACTCTAGTCCAGAGAGCAAGAGAGTGAGAGATAGAGAGCATGACAGTGCAATTATGAGAGCAAGACACAATAATTAATGTACATTTACCTCTCCCCATTCATAGGAGCCAATATTTCCAAAAGCTGTTCCGCCCCATGAGCAGAAAACAATAGTGCGGTCTGGTCTCCACCCTCTCTTAACTCGTAACATCAAGGCCCGGATAAAAGTTGTGATGATGGCAGTGCTGCTGGCCCATTCTTGTCTATTATAACTGTGAGCCGTGTGATGATGGCTGCCAACTATGACATAACGGTCTGGAAATGGAAGGAAACAAGAGCCACTGAAACATAATATAAACCTTAACAATAAATTTAATGACATTTACATAATCCTATTGCACAACCAAGCAGCAATTATGCAAAATTATTCTAATAAATAGGACTACTTTAACATGTTACACCCACTGTCTTGATTCACACATCTGTGTATATCAAAGCAGAGGCAGCTGCTGAACTCAATTATGAATCCAAAGCTTAGATCCATATTACTGTCCTCTGCAACATGCATATTAATTAATGAAGTACACAAATATGCCACAATGAAAACCTCATCTAACATTTTTCCACAATCATAGTGGGAAGTGCCCTATAAACAATGTGTATATGCTCAGTAAATATTAATGAACTATTCTTACATTTGATGGAACAATTATTCAGTCACTATAAATGTTAAAATGTGGTACTTATGTAGGAATTTTGCAATAAATGAAGTATTTAGGGAATCAGTTTTCATTCCAACTTATAGTTTTAACCCCTCTCCTTTCCTTGATGGAAAAAAAAATCATCATCAAAAGTCATCCAACTATTCTCTTTTCACATATTTTATTTCATAGAATCATACAGAATTGATAAGGTACATTGCTAGAAAGGTCTCCATGACACATGGATGGGTTCTGAACAACATACTGACCATTGTCAGTAATAAGGTAGACTTCAAATGCATCTCTAGAGTTTCCGCTGATTTTGTTGTCTGTGGATGTTGTTGGCACACATCTAAATTTACTTGAGCAAGTAGCCTTGTAATTTGTGCAAAAACGTTTTTCTTCATTAAGTGTCATTTTCTGAGCAGATGTTCTATAGCATGATGGTTAAATGTGTAGAGTTTAAGGACTTCCTGCGTGGGATGGAATCCAGGGTATTTGACTTACTAGTTGTATGACCTTGCCAAGCTTGTTCAGGTGCTCATGATAACTTCTTCAATCATAAAATGGGTATAAAATAGTGCCTACATCATTTCTTTTTAATTTTATTTTTAGAAACTTTATTAGAGTATAGTTGCTTTACAGTGTTGTGTTAGTTTCTGCAATACAATAAAGTGAATCAATTATATGTATATCTATATCCCCTTTCTTAGATTTCCATCCCATTTAGGTTATCACAGAGCACAGAATAAAGATCCTGTGCTATACAGTAGATTCTTATTATCTATTAGATATAGATATAGATATATCCTCTTGGTATCCATGCTTATTCTCTATATCCGTGTCTCTATTTCCATTCGGTTGTTTGGAGTTTTAAATAAGTAAAGCACTTTCAATAGCGCCTGACACAAAGTAAGTACTACACATGTGTGGAATGAGTAAATCACCTCTTGACTTCATGACATCAAAAAGCTACTTTACAGGAAACATTACTGAGTGAAGCAATTTTTGTTTTCCTCACTGATATTGGAACCAACAATGAATTTAATCCATCAACAATGTGTTAAAATTTAATTAATGGTATATATAGTATGACTGCTCAGACAGTAAAGAATCTGCCTGTAAGCAGGAGACCTGGGTTCAGTCCCTGGGTCTGGACGATGCCTTGAAGAAGGGAATGGCAACTCACTCCAGTATTCTTGGCTGGAGAACCCTATGGACAGAGGAGGCTGGTGGGCTGCAGGACTTAAGGTCTCAAAGAGTTGGACACTGCTGAACGACTGACACACACATATGGTTTGCCTGCAATGTTGAATTGATTCACTCATCACTCAGATATGTATAAAAATTCTGTTTGGAATTGTCTGTGTTCTAGATAAGTGGTAAGTGTTAGTTGCTCAGTTGTATCTGACCATTTACAACCCCACTGACTGTATCCCGCCAGGCTCCTCTGTCCATGGAATCATCCAGGCCAGAATACTGGAGTGGGATGCCATTATCTTTTCCAGGGGACCTTCCCAACCCAGGAAGAGAATCCAGGTCTCCTGTATTGCATGCAGATTCTTTACCATCTGAGCCTTCAGGGAAGCCTGCATTCTAGATAAACCATATGTAGAAAACTAAATACTAGTTGATGCCATTTATCAGAGTCATTAAATAAAGAAAACATGTGAATGATCAATATTTTTGTGTAAAGTACAAATAAAAATGAGAAACATATTATACATTAAGGAATACTATTAATTAAACAGAGTTTAAAAAGTTGGTGTTTTTTTCTACATTGAATGTCAATAAGGAAAGATTTTCTATCCTAAATCTAGTATAATTAAGTACAATATTTTATTCAAAAATAACTAAGAAATTTAGCAATGATGATAAATATTTCTAATACTTCAATTAGAGATTGTTATGATGGAAATTTACTGAAATGGTTGAAATGCAACGGCAACAATCTCCAAAATCATTTATATCTTGCATTTAAAGATATTATAATCAGAGGTTGTTCAACATTGCTACTGTAAGGAAATCAAACAGAAGATGCCTGTCAATTTTTAGAGGTGGCTGGCAGGAAAACTTGGCAGGGATGTAAAACTTGATCTCAAAATTCCCTGAGTTAGCAATTATGGGGTCAGTTTGACTAAAATAACAGAGACGGATAATTCTCCAAAAAGAACTTAAATAAATAACCCTACCAAATAAATAGACGTGGCACAAATGTACTACAAGACTTGCATTCTATATTGTATGTAACAAGCACCACAGACAGTGATGTTATTCAGTCTCACAATGTATTCAGAAGTGTTGATGTTAATTAGATAATTAATGTATTTGTGAGTTATTTTCACTTCTTTAGCCTATACAGCATCATCTGAAGGTTCCATAAGAGCCCATAACAAGGTATAAAACTTTAAAATTTAGCCAGGTGAACTTTTTCATAAGCATTTTCAAAACCTAAAGCCACACAAACATTAGGCAGAATTGGCGAACCAAGGATTAGGGATGGGACACAGACTAACACTGAAATATTTGAAACCAAAACTTATATTAAAAAAAAAAACTAAATTACTTCATTTTTTAAAAGGTCTTTATAAAAATAAAATCTTCAATGGTGTTATAGTGAATAAAAGAAAAACAATGACTTCTGTAGCTTTCACTCAAAGGTACATGCCAGTTTAACAAATCTAAACTCTGCTTTTTCTGTTGTTTCCCCTCTTACTCTCTTTAGTATGATTTATCTTTGAAGAAATTTAGTATGAAATAGAATAAAGATCTGTTTCTTACTTTTGTATATCACCCATCCCTTAAAGTAGCATGAACCTAATTACCTCAAAAGGAAGACACTTAACTATGATATTGTTAACAGAGCATTTGTGATTTGTAAGACAGGATTCTCTGGAGCTCAGACAGTAAAGAATTCGCCTGTCAATGCAGGAGACCCGGTTCAACCCCTGGGTCAGGAAAATACTGTGGAGAAAGAAATGGTAACCCACTCCAGTATTCTTGCCTGAAGAATTTCACGGACAGAGGAGCCTGATGGGCTACAGTCCATGGAGTCGCAAAGAGTTGGACACGACTGAGCAACTAACACACTATACAAGATGTAGATTATAAATACTTGGGTCTACTTACCTGGAAATGTTAAACCCTTTAAATATCCAACAACATTAGTAACTGTTTCAAATTTTGTGACTGTTTGAATTTTCATGTTGACAATTCTTTCCTCTGCAAAAAAAAAAAAAAGGCAAAAACAAAACTAAAATACACTTATTTTTCTAAATACTGTTGTTTTAATTTTTCTTAAAGCATCCAAATTTATTTATACAAGATCATCAAATTATTCCAAACAATTGAATTTTTCTAGGTAACAAATGTCACACTTTTTGGCAAATATGCGTTGGAAAGTTTGTGTAGACAATTTTAGGTGCTTATTATACAATGATGACTAAGATACAATTACTAACTTCATAGAAGTGTAGAGCCATTAAAGGGCTATTTTATTTTTTTAATTTATTTTAATTGGAGGTTAATTACTTTACAATATTGTGGTGGTTTTTGCCATACATTCACATGAATCAGCCATGGGTGTACATGTGCTCCCCATCCTGACCCTCCCTCCCATCTCCCTCTCAAAAGGACAATTTTAAACTTCATATTAAAAACTGCAGTGGGGTTCAACAGGAAAACACACAGAACAAGATCTCAAGGATATGTGGGCAACTCTATTTAAAAAAATAATAATAATAATCAGATAAAAATATTTCTAAATAATTTTAAATACTTGCCTAGCTTCAAAACAAAATCACATGTGGAAATAATTTAATCTTTTCCCTTTGATTCATTACTACATTGTCACTTTGAAAACTGGGAAGCATTACACAAATTAAAAGAACAAAGATTTTTGAAGCTACATATATTTTCAAATATTGGAGTTTTCTACTTATGTTTATATGTCTCTCACCTCTCTTCTAAATCTCTGCCAACTGCTCTGCCTCAGAGTTTTTCTATTCATGTTTGATAGTAAAAAATTTGACAACAAAGCAAAGACACCAATCAGAAAGGACTTCAGTCACAGCCCTGAAGTGATCTTTGAAGGTCTTTGATGATCACAAGTGTTAATCCTGTATCTGATGGATCCTGGGAAGTCTGAGGACTGGGGTGGTAGGGAGGAAGAAAGTACTGGTAGAAAGGTAGTTTCCCTAGGAGACATTCTAGGGCAGCCAAGTAAAAGTGTTGGGGTGGGGGTGACAATGAGAAAGCAGCTAATGCAAAGTAGGGGTTTCTCTCATGTCTCAGTAAGGGGTAGAGGATCTGCCTGCCAATGCAGGAAACGTGGGTTTGATCTTTGGATATGGAAGATCTTCTGGAAGAGGAAATGGCAACCCACTCCAATGTTCTTTTTTTTATATATGTATAATTTTATTTATTCATGTATTGGCTATACTGGGTCTTCATTGGTGCCTGGGCTTTTCCTAGCTGCAGCAAGTGGGGGCTAGGCTCTAGTTGTGGTGCACTTCTCTTTGCAGTGGCTTCTGCTCTTGCCACTAGGGTGCTAGCATAGGCACTAGGGTGCTAGCATAGGCACTAGGGTGCTGGCATAGGCACTAGGGTGCTCAGGCTGCAGGAGTTTCAGATCCTCGGCTCCAAGCCCAGGCTCAGTAGTTCTGGCACTCGGGCTAAGTTGCTCTGCAACATGTGGGATCTTCCCCGACCAGGTATTGAACCTGTGTCTCCTGCTTTGGCAGTCAGATTCTTTACCACTGAGCCACCAGGGAAGCCCTCCACTCCAGTATTCTTGTCTGGAAAACCTTGTGGACAATGGAGCCAGAGGGCTACAGTGCATGGGGTTGTAAAACAGTCAGATGCAACTAAGTTAAAAAAAAAAAAAATTGCAAGACAGACACACTTTGCTGACAAGCCTTCAAATTGAACTTCTTACTGCCAGATGAAACAATTATGACAAATAAGTTGCTTCTTTCTTTGTAGTATGAAAGTGAGAGTGTTAGTCACTCAGTTGTGTCCGACTCTCTGCAACCCCATGGACTGTAGCCCACCAGGCTCCTCTGTCCATGGAATTGTCCAGGCAAGAATACTGGAGTGGGCTGCCATCCCCTTCTCCAGGGGATCTTCCTGACCCAGGGATTGAACCTGGGCCTCCCACATTGCAGGAAGATTCTTTATCTGATTCTCTCCTGCCTCTATTTGGCATCTTGCATTGCATGCATGCAAGCTCAGTTGCATCCAGTTCTTTGTGACCCTATGGACTTTAATCCATCAGGAACATCTTTCATTAGCATGATCAATACCTGTTACCATTAATGAGACAATATTAATAAGTCCAAAGTTCCATAAATCACGTTGTTTCACTTGTTGTACTGTGCATTCTATGGGTTTTGACATAAGCAGAATGACAGGTTTGCACCATTATAATATCATACAGAATAATTTCATTGCCCTAAAATTTTTCTGTGCTGTACCTGTTTATTTTTCACTCTCTCCCTTCCTCTTAAGCTCCTGGCAACCACTGATCTTTTAAATGTCTCTACAGTTTTGCCTTTTCCAAAACATGATAGAATTGGAATCATATGTTTGTTTTTAACATTTAATTCCCTGTTCTAGTTTTTTCCAAACAGTTCAGATAAATGAACTTTAGATGAGGGAGTCATGACCTTATAGTTGTTGTTTTTAATATTTTTATTTTATTTTTGAGTTAGATACAGCTGAAGAATCATCTCTGGTTTTCTAAGATTCAGTATTAACTTTTTTCAAGTTCAGCAGTAAGAAAATCTTACAGTATGTACCTTACATATGTACAAATGTACTGCAAACTGCTTGAAATATTACCTTATGATATACTGACTTACAATTTATAATACCATTGATACACAAACATACTAATTCTTCCCTGTGGCTCAGACCATACAGAACCTGCCTGCAATGCAGGAGACCTGGGTTTGATCCCTGGGTCTGGAAGATCCCTTGGAGACATAGCGGGAACCCATCCCAGTATTCCTGCCTGGAGAATTCTATGCCCAGAGGAGCCTGGCAGCTACAGTCCATCGGGTTGCAAAGAGGACATGACTCAGTTACTCACACACGCACTCACTCATTCACTTACTCACACACTAAATCTCACTGGATCTTTTTTTGTTTTTCCATGAAACAGTAATGTAGTTTCATTAATGTTAATATTGAGTTCTAATTTATACATGGATTTGTTTTTATCCTTGCTAGTATAACTATTTTAACAGGGCCATACTGTTTTAATCAACAGAAATTTGTCATGACTGAAATACTGGGTCCACTACCACCACTACCATCACCACTACCAGCATCACCACCATCATCTAATTTAACTAGTCAATTTGGGGGGAATTTCCAAGCCTATTTTTATGAAAACTTTTATATTAGTTTGCCATGTGCCATGAAAAGACATTTCAGGATTTCATTAGGATTACATTAAATTAGCAAACCCATTTGAGAAAATTATATCTTTTATCTATTATGGTATACTTCTCAATTTATTTCAGTTGATTTTATTTCTTTTAAAAAGTTTTATATTTTTCTTTATAAAAGATTTGCATGATTATTAAATTATTTTAAGTTTTTCCTGCTATAGTAACAAAATACAGTGTTTAAAATTATTTCACAGTGTATAAGCATGCTATTTAATTGCAGATGTTAGTCTTATAAAATGCCTTCTTGTTAATCTTCTATAGGTTTTAATGGCTAATCTCTTTTCATTTTGTTAATTTCACTGAGATACATACCAAAAATAGTTTTGTTTTTTCCCTTTAAATCTTTATAACTTATCTACTGTTCTCAACATTTTTTCTAGGACTGCCAGTTCACTGTGGAACACTGGTAGTAAAAGCAGCCTTCTTTGGTCCTTGTCTTGTCTTCTTCATTACAAATGTTTCTATAACTGTACTTTTTAAGTTATTTGCTACAGCTTTCTGGGAAATTCCCTTTAAAAGTAAGATCACTTTTATATCTTCCTTTGCTAAGAGGTTTTAGCATAAACAGATATTGAATCATCTTTTGAGATAACTGCAAGTCTTTTCACATTACAATGCTAAAAAAAAAAAAATGCTTATATTCCTGGATTAAGCCCTTCTTGGTCATGATATTTTTTGCGTGTATTTGGTTACTAATACTTTTAGAATATATGCATATATATGTGACATTAATAATTTTACTTCTCTATTTTTTCCTGTCTGATTTTGATATGTAGATTATAAATCTCACAAATATTTAGGGATCTTTTCATTGATTCTGTAAGAGTTATTCAGCACAAATTAACCATTTTACAAAGGAGAGGTAGTTTTAGTATATAAAACTATTTGGTACTGGTATTTTCTGTGTGTGTTGTAGGGAGAAGTACATTTTCACTCATTGTATATTTTCATTTTATTTCATTTAATATTTTCAAATTATTATTATTAATCAATATAAACAAATTGATTCTTATGTTTATTTCTTTTAAATGTATCTAATTGTTCATTTTATTCTTGTTCTTCAAAAAATCATTATTTATATATGAGTTTGCTTCCTTTTCTATTTCTAACATCAATTTACTTAGTCTATTTTTTAAAATCTTTCATCAAGTTTACTAGAGTTTAGTTAATTTATTAGAATTTCAAGAAAACAGTTTTTGGGTTTATGAATCCTCATTTTTCTTTATTTCTTGCTACAATAGTATATTCTATGCTTATTAGTGGCTGTGCTAAGTTTTCCCTAATGTATTCTCTGTGTATATGTGTGTTCAACTTAAGATGTTTAGCTCATTTCCTTTCAATTGTTACACATGTCTTTAAGACTATAGATTTTCTATGTAGCTGAAGTACATTAATTTTGATATATGGTATTATTATCTCATAAATTCTAACATTTTTAAATTTCTATGATAATTATTTCTATAATAAATGTATTAGTCCAAAGAATTTTCAAAATATTCAAATACATGGTATGGGTTACTGCTTTAATATTGATGTCTAGCTTAATTTAATTAATGAAATGAAAGCAAGGTCTATATGCTGATAATTTGATTTTATGTGAGATTTATTTTGTGACACTGGCAGGCTATTATAAATGATAACTAGAGACTAAACATTTTTATAAATGCTCCATATAAATAATGTGCATTCCCTATTACATGGTTACAGCATTTCATTCATAGGTCCAGTAAATCAAGCTTGAAAATTGTGTAGCTCTAATTTCACTGT